GGAAGTCCAGTTGTCTTTTGAAAAAGCACCTTTGGGACCACCATGACCTGGATGACTGAGAATCTCCATAGATATTCTCCCAGTACATCAATTCTTTATGTATTTGGTTTTGTATTTTTTTAATGAAATTTTAAATCCTGGACACCACCTTGAGTCTTTTTGATTTGGCGGCCTCATTAATCTAATTAATTAATTAATAAGAAATGAGGAATTAGTTGCACTTGTACAATACTGATGCTTTAAGCTTTTGGTGGTGATGGGCCTTACTTAAGAGCAGTGGTGAAATTCAATTTTTTTACTACCGGTTCTGTAAGCGTGGCTTGATGGGCGTGGCAGTGGAAGGATACTGCAAAATGTCCATTTCCACCCCACTCCAGTGGAAGGATACTGCAAAATGTCCATTCCCATCCCACTCCAGGGTAAGGATACTGCAAAACCCCCATTCCCTCCCCACTCTGGGACAAGCCAGGGGAGGTATTTGCCGGTTCTCCGAACTACTCAAAATTTCCGCTACCAGTTTTCCAGAACCTGTCAGAACCTGCTGGATTTCACCCCTGTTTAAGAGCTGTGGTGGCACAGTGGTTAGAATGTAGTATTACAGGCTGACTCTGCCCACTGCCAGGAGTTCAATCCTGACCGGCTCAAGGTTGACTCAGCCTTCCATTCTTCTGAGGTTGGTAAAATGAGGATCCAGATTGTTGGGGGCAAGATGCTGACTCCGTAAACATCTTAGAGAGTGCTATAAAGCGCTATGAAGCAGTATATAAGTCTAAGTGCTTTTGCTATTGCTATCATCCATCTGCAACTTCTTAACCAACTGATCTTTCCTCAGGATCTTGAGGTTGTCTTCCACAGTTGTAGTAGACTCACAGGAAAAACTATGCTTGGTTGAAGGAGTTGAAGGCATCTTCTTTCTGCCTCCTCTGAAATACTTTTTTTGCCCTTAAATCTGGCACTGTGCGCAGCAGTAATTACTATCTTTAGCTTTTTTTATTATTGAATTCTAGTTCAACCAAACTCATAAAACAGTCTCCAGGTTCAGCTCTCCACAGAGCATGTTACAGTAGCCTAGTCAAGAGGTTGCATAAGGCCTCACTTTCCTTGGACGCAACTTGGCTGGTGCACCAGAGGAAAATGGAAGGAGGAATCCAGGGGATCCCTAGAGCCAAGACGTTTCATGGTCTTATGAATTGGCCTTTCCCTTACAGAAGAATACAGAGATATCTTTGAAGAAAATATACAACAATTACTGAGAATGCATGAACTTAGGTTAGGGTAAAAGAAAGATGTGAGAAAAACAGTTCAAAATTGACCTGTCCCGATTCTCTTGGGTATAAGAGGAAGAAAAATAAAAATACTGTCATGCTGCTATATTCCGTTATTGTAGTTATATCACTTTATTGTCCTAATATTTCTTGTGGGGTTTGTTGACCTAGTGTGAGAGAAAACTTCTCTCACGCTTTGCTGTGCCTATTGATTGGCTTCTGGTTTGAATATTTGAATCAGCCAATCAGAGACTGCTCTTGACTTTGAATTTCCCGGGCTTTTGTAACTGACACTAACACGGTATATAAGGAACTGCTCTCCAGAGGGAAGAGTCTCACACATGCGGCAGAGACCCGAAGACCAGCTGGCCGGTGGGAGGTGCGCGCATATGCACAGTGAAGCTGAACTGGGGCGACGGCTCCCGTGCCTACAGAAAGGGTGCTGGGTGCCACTTCTGGCATGCATGCCATAGGTTCGCCATAACGGGGCTATGCCATGGAATAAATATGTCCTTGCAGACTTTTTTTCCCCCTGCCATATCCTCAATGATACTGCCTTCATCTCAACTTCAACCCATGCATGAATAACTTTAAACTGTTCTTACTGTACAGGTAAAAAAGTAAAAGTTTCCCCATCAGTCATGTCTATTTCTTGGCTGAGGGAGTCAAAGACAATTTCTGCGGTCATATACCCCAAAGGTGCATGAAACGCTGTTATCTTCCCAGTGAAGTGGACCTAGTAATTTACTTGCATTTGCATGCTTTTGAATTACTAGGTGGACAAGAGCTGGGGCAAGTAACAGGAGCTCACCCCCTTGCATAGAGCTCGGATCTGGAACCTGGACTGTCAGCTCTCCAGCTGACAACTCAGTGTCTTTAACTGCTGAGCTGTCGTGTCCCTATTCCAAGAGCCCATAGTAGTTGCAAGTTGTGTGAGACCTGCTTCACCAGCTATTCTGTGGGAGATACACAGTTGAGTTGTGACAGGTGGAATCAGCCCAGCATTTATTGGACTCTTTACCAGGTTGGTGCAAGCACTTCTCTTCTGTTCCAGGCACAGCGTTGTGAGGTAATCCAGATCAAAAGCACACCCAGAAGTACTAGCTTTACCTTATTGCAAGGTTACATGAACAGAATTTTGCAAGCCTGAACAAATTTTGCAACCCCCCAACACACACTTTAGAGCCAAAGAAACTAGCGAGGGTCCCTTCTGAGAAGTTTGCCATACCCACATTCCTTTTTCAGGCTAAGCTGCCCCTTATCCTATCATTGTCCTGGCTGTGGCTCTTCCCTCTGTTCTCCCCAGGTCATCCTCAAATACCAATACACAATCCACCATTTGTGCAACCATAAGAACGGTTGCAGGAACTGGGTATGTCTAGTTTAATGAAAAGAAGGACTAGGGGTGACATGATGGCAGTGTTCCAATATCTCAGGGGCTGCCACAAAGAAGAGGGAGTCAAGCTATTCTCCAAAGCACCTGAGGGTAGGACAAGAAGCAATGGGTGGAAACTAATCAAGGAGAGAAGCAACCTAGAACTAAGGATAAATTTCCTGATAGTTAGAACAATGAATCACTGGAACAACTTCCCTCCAGAAGTTGTAAAAGCTTCAACACTGAAAGTTTTTAAGAAGATAACCATTTGTCTCAAGTGGTGTAGGGTTTCCTGCCTAAGCAGGGGGTTGGACTAGAAGACCTCCAAGGTCCCTTCCAACTCTGTTACTCTATTCTATTCTATTTTTTCATTCCATTGCCAAAAAGAACTGGTGAACTCACGGTGAAGCCACCACTTTCTTTGGTTTGCATGAGAGCTTCGGCACTGGAGACAAATCCCTTGTGTGTCTAATCACACTTGGCCAAATAAAGATTTCAATTCAATTCAATTCAATTCAATTCAATTCAATTCAATTCAATTCAATTCAATTCAATTCAATTCAATTCAATTCAATTCAATTCTTTAGCACATTTTATGGAAATGCAAAGGTTAAAAAAAGTGCAGAACCTACACTCTTCTAGAAAACACAGGGCCAATGTCTTTCAAAAGCTGGGGAAGTTGCATTTAATGCGCCTTGTAGTTTTGTGGGACTCTCCGCTGGCGGGACTCCACTTCCACAATCCCGTTCAGTCCTCTTTGTAATCCCAGCTCATCTCCCTTGGGGTGTGTGCCGTCAAAGATAATGGACTTCAGATGTCTAATGCCATTCCATTCCTGCTACAGTGGTGACATTGTCTGGCAGGGGTGAAATTCAAACAGAATACAGGGACAGTGAAACCAGAGGATTCAATCAATTGTGTTACTTAACATATTATGCAAACACCAAATCAAGGTACTACTGTTCAACACCAAGCCCAAAGATGAGTAACTGAAAAAAAAAACCAAAAAACAAAACAGATCAAAAGATATAGTAAGGAGGTAGATCCCCAGGAGGGAGGGGGTGCATTCCAGAGGATTAAGAGGCAATTCATCCTGGATGTCACATGGGAGAGAAAGAGAGTGAAGACATACCCTCCCTACTAGTTCACAACTGAGTATATTGGAGATACAGAAGTAGAGTGCACAGTACGGCAAGATTCTGTCTATGGGTGTGAAACAATAAAGAATTCCACTTGGAAGAATTGCTACATGTCATTCTTGGTTTTGGGCCCAACAAACTGTACACCAGAATATTTTTCTGCTGACTCAAAGATGGGCCGAGAGCACTTCAATTTCAGTGAATGGCCCAGAAGGAGAGACACCCATTTTAGACATTGGTGTGGTGGCATTGTTGAATCATTCTCTGTCAGCTTCATCTGTCCTAGGATTAGGGTGACTCAAGATCTTGTGATGCATATTAGCCCGAGAAAGGATTTTCATAGCAACATTCAAAGGAAACGTCCATCTTGTTTCTTGAAATAAAAAACACAAAGCTATATCTTTTCTGGGGAAAAAAAAAAAACCTTTATTGAAACAACGTTGACATCCAAGAGTCCTTGGATATGAGACGGGCGGCAAATAAACGTCATAATAACAATAATAATCTGCTTATCATTAAGTAAATACATAGGATTCAAGTCCTATGATTCCAGTCCTATGATTTTGTGGAATTCTAAAGATGTGTGCTGCCACTGCACAGAGCAAAGTCTGAAACGACACTTGCCTCATTGGTCTCCCCAAGTTTCTTTGCAGCAAAGGTGCATGATATCAAGCATATGCCAAGGTCAAAGATCTACATTTCCATCCTAATTAGAAGTTACAGTTTCAACTTTAAATGGAATTAGCTATTATTATTATTATTATTATTATTATTATTATTATTATTATTATTATTATTATTATTTAATCTTTAGTGAGATTCACAGCCTTTGAGGTTGGTTAATAGCTCAGCAGCTCGAGTCCTAACCAAGGACCTAGGAACTGTTAAGGTATCGTCGGAGGATGTAAGCTGATCCGAGTAAGGTGGTTTTTTGTAGAGTCAAAATGTTCAAGTCCGGCAAATTTAGAATTTCTAAATAGCGGGGTAGCCCTTTGGGTATTGCTCCGAGGGCTCCAATTACAATCGGGACAACACATGATTTCTTTTTCCACAGTCGCTCAACTTCAATTTGCAAGTCCCGGTACTTTGTGATTTTTTCTTGCTGCTTATCTTCAATCCGTGCATCACCATGGATGATGATGATGATGATGATGATGATGATGATGATGATGATGATGATTATTATTATTATTATTATTATTATTATTACCGTATGGCGTTGTTACAGTAGCCAGGAGACTACAATGCTATGCAAAGTAGTAGTTTGGCCTGCCTGTTGTGGCCTGCCAGTGGCCACTGGAGCTGGTGGCAGACTCAGACAGTGAGGAGATTTGGGAGGAACATGGGCCAGTCCTGGAGTCTGGGGAAGGCTCTGATGAGTGCTCTGTGTCGGAGGCAGAGATGAGGCCAGGGCCATCTGACAGTTGTCAGCTGCCTTCGGAGTTGGACATCAATGGGGCAGAAGAAGAGCTGGAGTCTATTCCCAGTGTGTGCATATGCAGAGCTGCTAGGAGAAGGGAACCGCTAAGAAACAAGGGTCGACTCAGGAGTAAAGCCACAGGTGGATGGTGAATGGCCTTTCCCATAGGGAATAAAGAGGAGTGAAAGAGGAGGCGAGTTTGCAGGAGACAATTAGTTCAATTCATTAGAGTGAAGATCTGTTCTTGACTTCTTGCCAAGTATTGTCTGCTCCAGCATGACATTTGGAAGATATCGGCCTGGCAGCTCTCCAAGCCTGATAACGGTCTGTAGTTGTGAAATCGCTGGAAAGACTGTTGGCTGGGACTTTGCTGGAGAGGAATTCCCTTTAAACTAAATAAAAGGGCTTTTATCGGAACAAGGAGTTGGCTTCATGCTTTTGGGAAGCCTAGGTCAGAACACTGCCAAGGTTCCAGCTCTGTGATAGGCCATGCTTGCATGCTTTCCCAGGTGCGCTATAAGGAGGGTGAGCTGGCTTCGCACCAGAGAGAAAAAGGAGTGGCTCTTCCTGCTGCATCACCCATAGCCCCCTCCCTTCCTGGAGCTGCCTTGCAAAATGGATCCTGCAACCAGGAAGGTTCAGAGCCATCAGGAATCAGACTGCCTGCACAGAGCATCAACTTCCCAATGAAGTGGTACTTTCCTATCTACTTGCATAGAACATGCTTCTGAACTGTTAGGTGGACAAAAGCTGAGGCGAGTGACGGGAGCTCACCCTGCCATGCAATGCTAGGGCTCAAACAGCTGGAACTGAGACCATCTCCAATGTTGTTAAGACACTGAGCCACCACGCCTCTTAATGGAATTAGCTGATATTAACTCTTGCAAGACTCTTTGAGGTGGATCAGTGTTCTGATGGTCTTCATGTTGTAGAGATGAAAATTGGCAACCTTTTACAAAAGTGGTTCCCTTGAGTCATTGGAGTACAATTATTATAATCCCTGACCATTAATTTCTAGCCAAATTCTAGCCATGCTTATTTTGAAGCAAGCCCTGCTGTCAGGGTTCCGGCGGACGCCCTAATTAAATCATGACTCTCGAGCCAAGCTTCAAAAGAAATCCAGATATTTATTAGGAGCCTCATGTTGGCACATTCCCAAGTGAAGCCAGCTCTGACCCTATGTAATTTACACTCCGATTATGAACCTGTTTCCCTCCCTCCCACCAGGGTGTGTCATCAATCACATTCGCTAATGGAGCAATTTCGCGGGTTGTAGAGGTCACTCCTCTTGGCTGCTGTAGGTAACCTACAGCAGCCAAGGCAGCCTTGGCTGTATAGCTGTAGGGATACAGCCTTGAGAGAGATAAGTGTGGAATGTGCATCTGTCTTTAGCTGCTGTGCCATTTTGCTGTTTCCCATCCCTCCTGGCCTATGGCAACTCGAGAGCAGGCCAGGGAAGCTTTGTGAGTTGACACCCAATACATTTTATAGGAATTATATTGCAGTAAGCATGTGTAGCCTCAACTACAGGTAGCCCTCACTTACTGATTGCCTCATTCAGTGACTGTTTGAAGTTACAATGGTGCTGAAAAAGAAGATTTATGGCCAAGCCTTGAACTTGTGGGCATTGCAGCATCCTTGTGGTTACGTGATTGTCATTTGTGACTTTCACAGCTGGCTTCTGACAAGCAAAGTCAATGGAGAACTGGCAGGAAGTTGCAGGTTGTGGTCACAGAAAGTTGCGTTTAAGGATCCACAGTGATTCATTTAATGACCCCATCACTTAGAGACAGAGTTTCCATTCTCAATTGTGGCGGATAAGTGAGGACCACCTGTACGATGTGCACTAGCAATGAATCTACCAGACTTCCAACAGAACGCTAACTTTTTATCTAGCTCCTACAGTAAAGTTTCTAACAGTTGATGTTTAGTGGATCAGCCATAGCTGTGACGGTGGGAAGAAGCAGGTAGATTTTGTATCTCAGGAGCAAGCGGCAAGCAGAATGGCTACAGTTGTCGTTGCAACCAGCAAGAAGAATGTGGCAGAAGTCTGGGAGTTACTCCCATTACAGAGATTGCTATCACAACAGGAGACTTTGACCCGGTAGGGGACATCTGAGTAGATAGCCCTGTCCAATTTATTGCATTTTGTCGCCGGGATGCAGCCTCTCGCATAGATGGATTCGTGCACTTTGAAATCTACAAAGATAAAAATGCAGAGTTAGGGTTAAGCACAAGCATTGAGGAAGAGCTGGTGCAGAGATGTGCATACAATAGCAATAGCACTTAGATTTATATACCGCTTCACGGTGCTTTATAGTACTCTCTAAGCGGTTTATAGAGTCAGCCTATTGCCCCCAACAACTTGGGTTCTCATTTTACAGACCTCGGAAGGATAGGAGCCTGAGTCAACCTTGAGCCAGTGGGAATCGAACTGCTGAACTGCTGGCAGCGGGCAGAATTAGCCTGGAATACTGCATTCTGACCACTGTGCCACCACAATGTGCATCCTTGTATCTACGTTCATTGTATATACTTGTACAGAGTTTAGGTCTCTAGCAGGGATTCTGCAGTGGTGGGATATTGAGGAAGGTAGGAAGTTAGCGCAGAAATGCCAGAATAGAAACTCAAAGGCTCTAGGATCCAACTGAATGGGATCCCATGGAAGCAATTAATTATACCACAAGAGTTGAAGGCAGATGGAGTGGGGTTTGTTGTAAAGTCCTCTATCCCATCCCTGAAGTTTTTATTGGGAGCAAATAGAAACTTCCCCCAGCCCCTTGCCATGGGCTCTTCAATAGGTCTACAAAACAAGTTTAGATCATGTTTCCAACTGTCAGCAAACAGTTAAGGCTTGGTATTGATCTTATATCTGGATTGTACCCGAGACATCCAGTTTGTTTTGAAAAAGTTACACATGCAGTTGTGGAAGGAAGTAAGGGAGGGAAAGAAGGATGGATAGAAAGAGGGAAGGATGGGAAGGGAAGGAGGGAGGGAGGAAGAAAAGAAGGAAGGGAGGAAAAAAAACAAGAGGAAAGAAAGCAAAAAGAAAGAAGAAAGAAAAAGAAAGAAAGAAAGAAAGGAAAGAAAGAAAGGCAGGAAGAAAGAAAGAGAGAGAAAGAGAAAGAAAGAAAAAAGGGAAAGGAAAGGAAAGAAAGAAAGAAAAAGAAGGAATGGAAAGAAAGAAAGGAAAGAAAGAAAGGCAGGAAGAAAGAAAGAGAAAGAAAGAAAGAAAGAAAAAAGAAAGAAAGAAAAAAGGGAAAGGAAAGAAAGAAAGAAAGAAAGAAAGAAAGAAAGAAAGAAAGAAAGAAAGAAAGAAAGAGAAAGAAAGAGAAATAAAGAAATAAAGAAATCTGGCATCTACAGAAGGCCAGAACAATCCTGGAACACACCTGAAAGTCCCTTGATGGTGCCACACCTCTCTCCTTCGTTACAGCTCACCAGTGATGGCTCCAAGCAGCGTTTTCCAAGGGTGCAGTTAAAACAGAGCAGGGTCTCCTTTCTCTGGCACAGGGCTGGGATACCTGAAGGGGAAATTTATTTTTTTAAAAAGTTAGCTCCTGCCAATTAATGCAATCGCTGCTATAGGGCGCAAAAGTCACCTTCTGTATGTCTGTCTCTTTTCTTACTGGCCAAGGTGCCTTGCCAATATGTTATTTTATGCTGCTTCTTTCTCCCAATCTTACAAAATTGTAATCCTACAGAGGAGCCTTCCAACTCTGGAAGCATTCCGCCACCCAATAGCAGGATGACAGGACACGATGGGAGTTGCATGCAAGGGTATCTGGAGAGCAGGGCTGAAATCCAGTAGGTTCTGACAGGTTCTGGAGAGTGAAAATTTTGAACAGTTCGGAGAACCGGTAGCGGAAATTTTGAGCAGTTTGGAGAACCGGCAAATACCACCTCTGGCTGGCCCCAGAGTGGGGTGAGAATGGAGATTTTGCAGTATCCTTCCCCTGCCATGCCCACCAAGCCATGCCACACCCACCAAGCCACACCGCACCTATCAAGCCATGCCCACAGAACCGGTAGTAAAAAATTTTGGATTTCACCACTGCTGGAGAGGGCACAGTTGAGGAAGGTTACAAAATAACCTAGACTCCAATGAGGAGAATCTCCCCTTCCAGCCTGCAGAGGCCCTGATGAAACTCCCGTGGCTTCTCCAAAGCTTCTCCCCTTCCAACCTCAACATCTTTCTCTAATAAAAATATCCTCATGCTCCCTTACCAGACATATGGACAAGCTAAAAAGGTTGGATGTGGCTAGGGCTTAGAAGGAAGGCCGCCAGAAAAAGTCTCAGCCTGTAAATTAGACTGGAAATTGAGGGGGGAAAAATATGCTAAACTATTTCCATATGGTCAAGAAATATAGCCAACCAGGAACTGAGCACAACTACAGGAAGACTTCACCATGCCAGGATTGGAGACTCTCCTTATTAAAATGGGAAGAATTTGGAAGACAGGATCTGCCCGGGATGGGCCAGCAAATGGAAAAGCATGCAGAAGCTTGATTATTTATGCACCCCAGGAATCTGTTCTAAGGAAATTCTGGTATTGAACCTTTTTTTTTCTTTTTTGCTTGCCACCAATTATGTTAAACCCAACAGTTCAACAACGGTCTGACAAAACCAAACGAAAACCCAGTGTTCGATAAAGGTCACATCAATAAATTAAATAAATAAAAGGAATATGGTGATGGGAGGGAAACCCTAAAACGTATCAGGAGAATCTTTTAATTATAATGGGATGGAAGAATGTTTCAAAACACAGTCTTGTACATTTTTATTCAAAAGCAATATCTCTTGAGTTCCCAGGAACTGCTTTCCATGGATTTATGGTTTATGTTATGCAAGTTAAGATTTAACTGAAAATAAGGAGCAGGTGGAATAAAAACGGAAGAGATTACATTTAGGAGGGAAAAAAATGTAGGACACACCTATAAGAGTTGTGGTGGCACAGTGGGTAGAATGCAGTATTGCAGACTAATTCTGCTGAGTGCCAGCAGTTTGATCCTGACTGACTTCAAGGCTGACTCAGCCTTCCATCCTTCTGAGGTCAATAAAATGAGGACCTAGATTGTTGGGGGCAATATCCTGACCCTGTAAACCGCTTAGAGAGGGCTGTAAAACACTGGGAAGCGGTATATAAGTCTAAATGCTATTGCTATTGCTATAAGACAAGGGATTCAGAGACTGGAAGCATTGCATTGGAGAAAGAGCTGGTTGTTGGTCATCGACTTCAAGTTGACTGTGAGACAGCAGTGGGAGGAAGCAATTAGAAGGACCAGTGCAGACCTGAGCTGCATTAGAAGAAGCATCATATCAAGTACATGTGAAGTCATTATTCCCCTCTATCTGGCACTGATGAGACCATATCTGAAGTACAGTGTACAATTCTGGACACCACACGTCCCAGCATATTGACATTTTGGAAAGAGTTGAGAAGACAGCAACAAAGATGAAACAAGAACTTGAGAACATGCCCTATAAGGAGAGTCTGAAGGACCTGAAATGTTAATTCTAGAGTAAAGAAGACTCAGGGAAGACATGAGATCCAGTTAGGTCCAGTGGTGAAGGTATCAGGCTAGAAACAAGGAGACTGTGGGTCCTGTCTAGTCCTGTCTTAAGCATGAAATCCAGCTGGGTGACTTTGGGCCAGTTACTCTCTCAGTCCAATCCATCTCATAGGGCAGTTGAAAGGGAAATAGGAGGGGGAGAAAGGAGGTATTATGTATGTTTACCACCTTGAATTACCTATAAAATATTGAAGGCGGGATAAAAATCATGTCTGTCTGTCTGTCTGTCTGTCTGTCTGTTTTCTGTCTCTATGTTTAAGAACAGAAAGGAAAGTTATAGCAATGAAGTCAAGAAATGTTTTCCATAACCACAGAAACTAGGACCGGAAATAATGGGTATATCTATCTAAGTTTTGTTTAAATATAGGGCAAAATTTCCTGATAGTAAAAACCTGTATAACAGTGGGACAAACCTCCTCGGAGGTTGTATATTCTGCATATGTGGTAATGATTGAACTGGTTTTCCTGAAAGTTGCACAGGATTGGATTAGCAAAAGCAACAGCACTTAGACTTTGCTGCCTTCTCTAAGCGGTTTACAGAGTCAGCATATTGCCTCTAACAATCTGGGTCCTCATTTTACCGACCTCGGAAGGCTGATTCAACCTTGAGCCAGTGAGAATCGAACTGCTGGTAGTCGGCAGAATTAGCCTGCAATGCTGCATTCTAACCACTGCGCCACCATGAGTCTAGATTAGATGATTCTTGGGGCTATTCCACTGCCACAATTCCATAATTCAATAATTATTCTATAATTCTATAATTCATGAATGACAAACGAATGAATAATGAATGAATGATGAATGAGTGAATGGATAAGTGGATGAATAATGAATGAATGATGGATGAGTATTGCATTTCTGTCCTGCTTCTAGAAGTTGCTCAGGGCCATGCATGTCCGTTCACCATTCATTTTAAGTACACAACGAGAACCCTTGTGGGGTAGGTTAGTTTAAGCAAAGGTGACTGGACCAAAATAATCTCTATGGCTGAGAGTGGCCTTAAACCCGGGTGCCCTTATCAGACATCAAATGGATTATCATTATATAATGAGGAGGTACTTCAGATGTTGCTGAATCTCATTCACATCAGCTCCAGCCTACATGGCCAGTTGAAAGGAATTATGGGAGCTGTGATCTAGCAATGGTCATTTCAGCTCTACCAACCTACGACTTTTTAGAGCAGGGGTGTCAAACTCGATTTCATTGAGGCCGCATCAGGGTTGTGTTTGGGGTGGGCATGGCCATAGTAGGCGTGGGCAGCTCGACATCACTCGTGTCGGGGCTCCTGTGGTGGCCCGAGTACTCTGCCAGCAAAAATGGGCTGCTGAGCTCTGTTTCCGACTGTGACGGTTTCCTGCAACCCTCTGCCAGTGAAAACGGAGCTTGGGAAGGCCCGTTTTCACTGGTAGAGGCACCGTGGGCTGGTCCTTCACTATTTCCAGGGTGACCCCGCAGGCCAGATCTAAGCACCCCATGGGCTGGATCCGGCCCACATGTCTTGAGTTTGACACCCCTGTTTTAGAGCATCACTCAGATATTGTTGAAGTGACATAAACTGTCCACCTTGTTACTTTTTGGGAGACACAAATATAGTTGTATGATTTGAGAAGATAATATTTATTTATTTGTTTTTCATGTTTCTAGACCGCCTCTCTGTCTCTCTCTGTCTCTCTCTCAATGTAAATAAACGGTGAGGAAACAACCTATATTTGGAGAGCTATTTGCTCCCCATCCTGATTGTGCATATTAACTCTAGAGAACAACTATTTCCACATAATATACGGCAACCAATTGTTTGAATTTGAACAAATGCACAGATGCCATATTGGGATGCGGTGGCTCAGTGGCTAAGATGCCGAGCTTGTCAATCGAAAGGTCGGCAGTTCAGCGGTTCGAATCCCTAGTGCTGCATAACAGGGTGAGCTCCCATTACTTGTCCCAGCTTCTGCCAACCTAGCAATTCGAAAGCACGTAAAAAATCAAGTAGAAAAAATAGGGACCACCTTTGCTGGGAGGGTACAGTGTTCCGTGCACCCTTGGTATTTAGTCATGCCAGCCACATGACCACAGAGTCTTCGGACAGCGCTGGCTTTCGGCTTTGAATCGGAGATGAGCATTGATCCCTAGAGTCGGGAACGACTAGCACATATATGCGAGGGGAACCTTACCTTTTACAGATGCCATACTTTTACTCTCCTTACAAACTCTACTAAGATTTGAAGTTTAAGGATTATCATGGCATGCCATTCGAAAGTTGCAAATGCCAAATAATTTCAGGAGGACAGTTCACTTGCACAACAGAAACCTATGTGTGATGGAGTTTTTTTAAAAAAAGTTTTTTATTTTTCAATTTCAAGAATATAAACATTCCATCTTTCCTTAAGCAGTGTATCGTCTGGGTACAAGTATCTCTGTGCAACATTCTTCACCGTTTGCAACATCATTCAGATTCACATTAATATTGTTTCTCTAAATTTAAAATTATAATTATAGTATATTAAACAGCTAAACATTGTAATCATTCTACATTTTCTTCTTAATGCCTTCTAGTGAGAATACCATATTAACATTAAACATCATTATTCTCATTTTACGTGTACTAACAATTTTCATCTTATTTATATCTCTATCTTAATATATTTTCTATTATTCCTTAGTCTTCTTCATTCCAAACTCCTTTTTTATTCTCTAACCATTGATAAAATACTTCCCATATCGTATAATGTTCAGTTTGTTCTTTCTCCTTAATTGCTAATGTTAATCTGTTCATTTCTGCACATTCTAGTATTTTCCTAATCACCTTCTCATCAATGGGAATCTCTTCACTTTTCCAATGTTGTGCAAATACAATTCTAGCTGCGGTTAATACATGAATAATTAAACATGCATTCTCTTTATTATAAATTTCAAATAAAATCCCTAGCAGAAATATTTCTGGTTTCAACTCAATACGTTGTGGTATCTCTTCCAACCATGTCTTAATTTTTATCCAATACTCCTTTGCTTCTCCACATGTCCACCACATATGATAGTAAGATCCAGGTATCTGTGGCCCTTCCAGCATTTAGCTGATTTATCTTTTAACATCTTTGCCAACCTCGCCTATGCAAGATGCCATCTGTAGAACATCTTCTATAAATTCTCTTTATATGGAGTTGACATTGTTAATTTATAATTCCTGTCCCTCAATTTCTGCCATTTATCTAATTCTATTGTATAACCAAAATTTTTCATCCATGCTATCATTGTCTCCTTTACATGTTCCTCTTCCAACTTTATACCCCATAATGTGATGGAGTTTTAAGTGGAACAATAGTTGCCCAGGGACAATCTCATTCTCTTGATAGATGAGACCTTACTCCAATGGCGCAGACAACATCTACATCTGGAGACCTCTCCTGCTGCTGTGAAATCTAAGTGTCTTGTCATACTCTTAACACTCCATAACACCTGCTGGGCCTACCTTCTTGACCATTGGGACCATTGATTGGTCTTCTCCACTCAATCAGTCAGGGCCAGACTTTACATGCTTGGTTAGGCAAATCCTCTACTTCACTGAGGGTCAAAGACTTGTCTAGTTTGGCACATCTGCCAAGACAGTTTAGTGGGGTGTGGCGGCTACATGTGTTACATCTACTTGGAGCCACAGAGGGAACACTTGGTGGGGACCAAAGGTGAACAAGCAGCCCTAAAAAGGGTATGGTGAGCCATTCCATCAGAGATGCTACCCAGTGGTGAAATCCAAATTTTTTTTACTACTGGTTCTGTAGGCATGGCTTGGTGGGCGTGGCAGGGGAAGGATACTGCAAAATCTCCATTCCCACCCCACTCCAGGGGAAGGATATTGCAAAATCCCCATTCCCTCCCCTCTCCTGGGAGAACAATATTGCAAAATCTCCATTCCCACCCCACTCTGGGGCCAGCCAGAGGTAGTATTTGCCAGTTCTCTGAACTACTCAAAATTTCCACTACCGGTTCTCCGGAACCTGTCAGAACCTGGTGGATTTCACCCCTTATTCTACCCCTCCCTGGACACCCCATACCACCTCACACTTAGCATATCTTAATCAACCAATCAGAATAGAGCTGGAAGGGACCTTGGAGGTCTTCAAGTCCAATCTCCTGCTCAAACAGGAGGCCCTACACCATTTCAGATAGGTGGCTGTCCAGTCTCAAAAACCTCCAGGGTTTAAGCACTTACAACTTCTGAAGGGAAAGCTGTTCCACTGGTTAATTGTCCTCACTGTTAGGAGGCTTCTCCTTAATTCCAGGATGCTTCTCTCCTTGATTAGTTTCCATCCATTCTTTCTTGTCCTGCCCCTCTGGTCCTTTGGAAAATAAGTTGACTTATAACTGCCCTCTTCTTTGTGGCAGTCCCTCAAATACTGGAATACTGCTATCATGTCACCCCCTAGTCCTTCTTTTCTGTAGACCGGCCATACCCAGTTCCTGCGACCGTCCTTCACATGTTTTTCTCTCCAGGTCCTTGATCTTCTTAGTTGCTCTTCTTTGCATCTCACTAAGCATTAAATAATATTCAGCACAATAGCCTGCTTGGCAAAAAAAATCAGCTGAAATAAACTCCACCAACTTACCTATTTGGAAGAAGCACACTGCTAAGAAAATGCTCAAGACTCCAGTTCTTTTCTCCATAACTCAGATTTTGGAATGTCAAAGTAGTCAGAAGACAGATTGGCAGCTGTACAGCAACTGTGTGAATGAAGAAATACCAGCATCTGCTTTGTTTGAAACAGTATTGGGGGTTAGTTCTACCAGCCTCTATATATTGTGCTGTCAGATGTCAACATCGAGTACCACTAAAATAACAGTGGGTGGAGGTGTGATTGTAGCTACAACAACACACCCTTTTGAACTTGAACTTGGGAAGCTCCAGTATAGACAGAGGTTCGTAGAGAGGGCCTACAATAGGAGGTAAGTTCTGAGGTAATACTTTCCCTCAAGGTCAGGGTATCCTTCCATATTGTGGGGGAAACCAACGGTGGGATCAAATTATGACAGGGGATTGTATGGGAAAGATGCATGGAAGTTGCCTGGGAGAAATTCTGAGTCAATGAAAAACTATGACATTTCTAGGTAGGGCTCATTAGCCATTTTCCACACCTTCTGTTGTTTCGGGGATCTGAGAAGCATCCATGAACTTGTAGTCACATTGTATTGCATAATCACGGTGACTCTTGCAGCAAGTGTCCAAGTCTTGCACAGAAGAAAATAATAGCGAACATGTTTCAGCTCCTCCCACTGAAATTATTGATCTTGTTGTGGAATTGTAGCAACAATAACTAAGCTCTTATTTCCTCCAATATCTGGATAGTTAAACAAAGGGATTAAATGGCTTGGATGCCACCTTCCAAAATTGCAGTGTGGCACTTTGGGTGCCCACCGAGATCTAGAAACTGTGACCAGGATTGTGTGCCTTCAGTTGTAACGTTCTCTGGGAATTGTGCTTTGGTGGTACAATAACTTGATTATGTGCCATTAAATTATCTTTGACTCCTAGCAGAGAGATTTTTTTCCCCATGCTAAACTCTATATAACCTGGTCTTTCTGGTCTCCCAATGCTGTTCCCATTGCCCCTGTAACTGAATCCATCCCTGTTGCTGCTGGTTGTCCTCTTCTCTTTCCTTCCACCATTTGCAGCATTTTCCAGAGAGCTGGGTCTTTACATCATGTGTCCAAAGTAGGATACAACAAATACAGTACTTACACCAAGCCCACTAATTTGATGGCCTCTTATCTAGATTATTCCAGTGCACAGAAAAAGGAAGAAATAGAATAGGAACTGGCACACAGGGACATCAATTTCTGAACATGTGCACCTCTTTACTAGAATAGAATAGAATAGAATAGAATAGAATAGAATAGAATAGAATAGAATAGAATAGAATTTTTTATTGGCCAAGTATGATTGGACACACAAGGAATTTATCTTGGTGCATATGCTCTCGGTGTTCATAAAAGAAAAGATACGTTCATTAAGAATCATAAGGTACAACACTTAATGATAGTCATAGGGTACAAATAAGCAATCAGGAAACAATATCAATATAAATCGTAAGGATACAAGCAACAAGGCTACAGTCATACAATCCTAAGTGGGAGGAGATGGGTGATTGGAACGATGAGAAGATTAATAGTAGTGCAGACTTAATAAATAGTTTGACAGTGTTGAGGGAATTATTTGTTTAGCAGAGTAGTGGCGTTCGGGAAAAAACTGTTCTTGTGTCTAGTTGTGCTGGTGTGCAGTGCTCTATAGCGTCGTTTTGAGTGTAGGAGTTGAAACAGTTTATGTCCAGGATGTGAGGGATTCTATCCAGTAAAGAAGCCCGACTTTTTTCAGGTATTAACAGAACCTGAAAAAAAAAAGATGTTTCTACTTTAAGGCATCCACTTGCTCAAGTTAACATGACTCTTAAAGCAACAGGATGGTATAATAAACAAATAATTGGTTGATTGGGGCTTCAAAAATCCCAGGAACCATTAGTTGAAAGCAAAGAGAACAGTCAGTTCTAACACTTTACCTCCATCTCCATCTAGTAGATGTTTGCTGCTCAGATAACTTTATTATAATGGATACCAGGGAACTTCTGAATTTGTATGAGGTCCAAAGCACTTCAATCATTTCCAAGTTGTGCTAGTTCAGTGTTGGCAGTGGTGAGTTCCTCCCGGTTCGGTTCGGCCCGGTTCGGCCGAGCTGGTAGCAGTGACGCTATTATGTCACTGAACCGGTTCTCTTTCTTTGGGAGCTGGGCCCTCCCACCCGCCCCCATGGTATTCCTACCTTTTATTTCGTCTTTTTCAGCCCAGCTGAGAGGTGCGGCAGAGTGGATTGGCGTACCTCAGCTGGGCAGATTCGTAACGCGCTTGCGTGAAGTGCAAGTTTGGCGCACATGCAAGTGAAGCAAAGAGGCGATCGCACGCAAAGCGTGTGCACAAAGAGAACTGGTAGTAAAGCCAGTTAGAACCCACCACTGAGTGTTGGCGAACTTTTTCAGCACTGAGTGCCAAAATGGGAGTGCATGTGCACAGGGGAGGAAGCACCAAAAACTGGAAGAGCAGCTCCTTGGCGCGCATGCGTGGGAGGGGGTGGAAACCGGAATAGCAGTTCTCTGGCAGCCATGTGTGCACCGGGAAGCTGAGCTTTCGGTTTCTGGCATGTTGATATGCAGCGGTCACCTGGTCTTCCGGTTTCTGGCACACATGCGCACGCAAAGACCAGCTGGGCAGCACGCATGTACGCTCTGGAACCCGGAAGAGCAACGGGCCACAGGTGGTGTGCCCGGAGAGATGGTTTTGCATGCCACTTCTGGCACGCATGCCATAGGTTCGCCATCATGGTGCTAGTTAGTTAAAATTCAGTATTGTGAGCCCAAGAGCACAGGTTATATGTGTTAGCAAGCAGGTTACTGTATTTTCAACCAATTGCAACTTCCAAGTAATCGTCAAAGGTAGCTCCATGTAGACTGTATTGCAGTAGTCCAACCAGATATTGATATGAGCATGTTTCTAGCACCTTCCAATGCAGGTAACCAGATATAATGGAGCTGTGAGAATAATCTTGAAGAACAGGAAGGCTGCAGCCATGACAACAGTCAGATAATGGAAATGTGAATCCAAAGCAGGAATGTACTTTGAAAAAATATCTCCCTTGACCTTCCCTAGTTTATTTTAAGATAAAGACCGGAAGGGGAGAGATACTTTCTGATTTGCAATGTTAGGGTAACCGTGTAATAAAAGTAATTTCAGTATTTATAACTTTAATGTCTAAATCTAGTCTACCTTGAAGGGATGATATCAGACAAGGACTGCAGGCCACCAGACAAGGCTTCATTTGATGGGAGTTAACATATTTACATCGGCTTTATAAATGTAGCGATGCTACCTACTCCTGAAATGATGAATGATCTCACACAATGGCCTCATGTACATATTAAACAGGAGATGAGCGTTGAGACCCCACACATATGGGCCTTGGATTTGATCTCTCCTGCCTATCAACACCCACTGGAGCTGGCCACAGGTGCGCACGCATATGGTGAACCGGTGGTAAAAATATGTGAAACCCACTTCTGGTGGCATCATAAATTAATTCAAGAGAAGCATCAGAAACCAGACGACAGTGTGTGTGAAAGTGTGTGACAGTGTGAAAACATTCAAGCCTAAGATGCATTTTTTTTAAAAAAAAAATGGCATTAAAACAATTAGACAATGTTGGACTTCATTCCTAAAGATTTCATGAACTTGATCTCCAAATGTCAACATATGCCTGTTTGCTTTTCATATGATAAAATAGCTCTTCCTTCCTCATCCTGCCACTTAGAACTCTGACCTAGATACATACACTGATGGTGGCACAATTGGCTTTAAAAGAAATAAATGAATAAACGAGGTTACCTGGAATCTGGATGTAGGTCTGTTTGCAAAATCCATCTCTCAATCCTCTCAAATAAGCGGCAAACAGGCACCTTTATAAATATGAGAAGCCCAGAAGTCAAGTACATTTGTCATAGCCTTTCCAATTTTAGGTCCTCAATCTTTTGGATCTTTGAAAAGTACCACAGGGAAGAGGGCATCAATTTATTCCCCAGATCACTCAAGAGCAGGACAAGAAGCAATGGGTGGAAGCTCATCAGAGGGAGATTCAATCTGGAAATAAGAAGGAATACCTGACAGTGAGAACGATTAATCAGTGGAACAGCTTGCCTCCTGGAGTTATGGGTCCTCCATCATTGGAGGTTTTCAAGTAAAGATTGGACAACTGTTAGTCTAGGATGGTATAAGGATTCCTGCCTTTGGCAGAGGATTGGACTAGATAGAAGACCTCCAAGATCCTTTCCAGCCCTATGATTCTATGATCATGTGTTGAAGGACAGGTCCTGTCATCTCCATCCAGTTCTTCATTCTGTGATGGCTTCATCTACCAGCCAGAGAGAAACTAATAAGTCCATGATTAGACAATTTCTCTGCTAGTAGGAGTGTTTAGGGCAAATGAAGGGAAATATACACGTCCTGGGATAATGTTGCAGGATCCAATCTGGGTCAGTTACTGGGACCAGACGTTTTGTCTTCCGAGCTTTTAGACTCGTGCTGGAGCCCATCTTCAGGGAACTTGTCTCTTCACTAGAGAGAACTTCCCTGAAGATGGGTTTCAGCACAAGTCCGAAAGCTCAGAAGACAAAACCTCTGTGACTGACTCAGATTGGATCCTATGTAGTGCACGTTTTAGGATGATCTTGGTTAATTATTGGAATAGTCGGCAATAGCATCTACTTTTTTTTTTTTTAACAAATTTTTTATTTTATTTTGATTCAAACATCATCTTCCATTAAACAGTGTGTCGTCTGGGTACAAATATTTTGGGCAAATATTTTATACAATAACAATTACAATTTACAGTCATGTTTATTATTTTATCTATTCTTAACTTAATATCAATATTAATATATACCATACCTAATACTATAACAGTCATCTTCTTAACTTAGTTAACTTTCTTAAAACATTTACTCTATTTCACTTCTCTGCTTTTTTCCACTTTTCATATTTATTCTCTAACCATTATTGATAAAATAATTCCCACATGTTATAGTAATCAAATTGTTCCTTCTCTTTAATTTCAAGTGTTAACCTATTCATTTCTGCACATTCTAATATTTTCCTAATCACATTCTCATCCATAGGAATCTCTTCATTTTTCCAATTTTGTGCAAATACAATCCTAG